ATTGCAAYTCTGCCTTTCAGAGCTTCTCCAAGAAAAAGCAATTCCATGGTCAAGATGAAGAGGCCATCCTCTCTTGAACCAAAGACTACTTCAAATTTTCTTTTAAATCTGCATCACCTCCTGCTGAGAACTTCCTCAGCTGCATTCTGTGAATGATGTCCTTGGCTTTCCTCAGTGTTTCCATAAAGTTCCAAAGGTTCTTATCTGACATTTGCACCGTGAATTGTTCTCAGGTTTTCCTGCCTGGAAATCTCCCTCTGCTGTTACCTGAGACACTGGACCTGCTTTATTGAAATCACATCCTGAGAGTCAGGCAGTGTAATTGTAGCTGTGGTGACAAGTATCTGCAAAGGGAAGAAAAGCTACTCCATCACAGACGAGGACTKGTGGAAACTGAAATCTGAAAGACTCTTCTCAAGCACGGGAGTGGAATACACAGACAACACATGTGATCCAGCCCCCTCTCGTGGTTTTTCCCCACAGAAGGCAGGAATCAATTCACTGATTGCTCATTGAATATAYAATCACCTGCATCTTTTCCTTGAATGTGGTTACTGGTATTTCATCTCTTCTTAGGGGGTGATAGATATTAGTCTGAGGATAGAAAATGATAATCTATAAAAGCTTTTATTTGTATTTCATATGTGTGACAATTGTTTGCACCAGAACATCAAGAAGGGAAAGGGAGTAAGGGAAAGGGATTTGTTGGCTATTTCTGTGATCTGATTTTTCTTAGACTGAGGAAGGAGGAGCCCAAAGTACTACAGGATAGAAAACAAAACTCTTCTGGTCAACTGAAGAAGTACAGAAACAACTAAGTTTGGTTGTCTCACAGTGCTCTGTGTTTTGAGTTGAACTGAATTGTGTGACACAAACAGCAAGACACAGTTTGTTGGTGGGGGAAGAACAAAKGCACTGAACTTAGAGAACTGCTGCAGTCTGGCTAAAGCCAAGCTGGTTTCAGTGGGCATTTTGGGGTGTACAGCATTGGCTAAATCAGCCCTGACCATTTGTTCTTGCTCTGCAGCASCAGCATGGCCTTTCTGTCATTTTTCCATTTCACTTACGGCTCACTGTGCAAACAGAAATTCAGCTGCCTTGTTCCCTCCCAGGGCTCATCCTGGTCACATGAGGATCTGTCCCAGAGCAATACGAGCAGCAGGCTGAGAACAGAAATAAAACTGTCCTCAGGTGGCACCGGTGCCAGCCTGCACAGCCTGGCACAGCTGAAGAACAGTCACACAGAGGTGSTTCAGCAGTGCAGCTCCCTTGATTGAGGCTCTGAGCTTTACAGAGCTCAGGGGTCTCGAGTGCTGTTTGCTGAATTCTCGTCCTTTCCCTCTGCCCTGATGAGTTCAGCCCTCAGTGACGAGGAATTTGGGACATCAGTTATGCACAAGGAAGGTGAAGGCCGGGTAGTGGGAGGTCAGTTCACTGTAAATGGGAGGCACTGTTGAGACTCAACATCAGCAGTGAAACCGGTAATGCCTTGCAGAAGAGGTGAAATTGGTAATGCATGCTGGTTACTTCAATAAAAACACATTTTCAGTATTGAAGAGGAAATATTTTTATTCCATCCACATTCCTTTGAAGAGACAAAGAGATGCACCAAAGCACRTGAATGTTAATCCATGGCAGAGGGAGCTCTGTTCTGGCCTAATAAATGGAAAATKTAATGGAATAWATGGAAACWCATTTGCACCTGACACCACTGTTCCAGAAGGCATTTCTGGATGTCGTGTAGTGGTGACATTTCCCCACTGGTGCTCTGGAAGGATCGAAGTTATTACTTGATCAAAACTCCTGTTAAAGTACAGGCAAAGCTCGAGGAGTTGGTGCCATCTTACACTGAGGTATTGCTGCGCTTTCTTTCTGTCAATACAGGAATTTATTTGTTTGTTAAAAGCACCATTGGATGTGACCTTGTCATACAGGGATGTATTATGATTTGCAAGGCATTAAGGAGACAATTCTGGAAGATCTGAAAAGGAGCTTTGCYATCCAACCAAGTGCTTTTTGAGAAGTGCATTCAGGAAAATACAGCSAAGCATGAAGAGGCTGAGATACTGAATTGACAGCTGAGGAAAGAGTGTTTATAGCTGGGGCAGCYGTGAAGATTGTATAATGGAAATCACTGAAGAGATATGGCTGGAAAAGAAAACACTGACAATTTTCTACCAATGCAACTGCCAGACTGACAGAGGGAGTGGGAACTTGTTTTTCCAGCTCAAGAAAAGAGCAAGACCTTTGACTGGTTTTCATTAATATTGCTTGTGAATACCACTATTTCACACACATAAAATTGATTTTAGATCAAGGACCTGGTGCAGCGTTACTGCAGTGTAACCATATTTCAGAATTTGTGCTCAATGAACACCTGGGCTGTCCTGTGACAACTGCAGAGCTGTGAYAGCTGAAGCAGGGAAGCAACCAGAGCCCATGTCCTGCCTGTTACGGGGTGCAGCAGGTGAGGACAGAACTTTCCCCACTTCCCTTCTCTGCAGCAGTAATGCAGTGTCACCTCTGTGCAGTTCTGTTCTGGTGACCCGTGATGAATGGCACTTCAGGCTTGCTTCCATTTCACTCAGAAGTGCAGCTTGAGTCACTGCTGTTGTCAGCAAAGCCTTTTCAGGACAGAATTCAGTGACATTTCGTGCTGCAGAGTGGGATAGTTGATCTCTGGAACAGGGCTCTGAACCAGGGTGGTGTTTGCTTTCCTGAGTGAGACACAATATCTGTACTTACAGAAGGCCAAAACCATAAGTTGTGTAGGCTTGATATGATTTGACAATCTGGGTTTTTGCTTTGGAGAGCAGGAATGATCTGGATATTATGCTGGAGATAAAGGTACTTTTGGACTGTGAGTTATTWACTGATATTTCTTCTTTTTGGTCAAAATTATGAGGCTTTTATGAGGCTGCTTAAAGGGGACAAGTCACACCTCCCTGCTGGCAAACATGGGTCTGGAAATATAAAATTTTAATGTCTTATTGAGCAAATACATTCTTTGGGACGTCAGAGCACTTTCCAACAKAATTTCAAGGGCAATTTCCAGTAATTCTTAGCCCCACCAAGGAAAATGCCCTGCCAAAATCTGAATGAAACACGGACTCACAAGGCCCATTTCATGCATCAATTGTCTTTATCAGCTGAAAGCAAACAGCCCTGGAAAGACACAAATRGACTAAGGAATCTCACCACRGRTKYCCAYAGKTTTTTAYATTCTTTTGCAGGTGTCCATCATGGTCCTCAGTGATCATTTTSGTAGTGCCTGGACCTGGACAAACTTAACTGACAGAATGTTTYCTTTAATTTGAGTTATTAGATATTGACAACATATGGGGGAAAATATATTGGATTTTAGAGTATTATAGTATATGTAAATGATTCTAATGTTTAGGATCTGCCACTTTTCCCTCTGCAGTTTCAAATAAGCATTTTATTTCCCAAAAGCCTGGCAGTATTATTTACATTTGTGTTATTTCTCTTACAAGCCAGGTATATAAGCAGCTCCACACTTGATACYGCTCAGATTCAGAAACCTACTTGAACAAATCTTCTGTTAAAATAGCCTCGAGTTTACGTGAGCAAGAACTGTCGAAATGTAGCTCCTAATCTGCACCATATGTTGGCATATGTCCTTCTTGGAGATGACATTTTGCTTTGCTTGCAGTAGATAACATTTCTTTTACAGGAAAAAAAAAGAAAACCTGATGAGAGGCTACAGGCAGGAGGATGATAAGGGAGGGGTATCTGCATTGTCCTGGTCTGTTTAAGGTGAACCTTCCACAACTGTGGGTCAGTGAGACCTCTCAAAGTGCTTTGCATTTTTAACACCCTTTGCAAAATTCTTCAGTTGCAAAAATCGCCCCGTGGGTATTCAGACTACAATGGATTCAGAGCTGCCTTGCAATCT